TCTCTAACCCCAGACCCCACATCTGAGGTGTGAGGGTTGGGACTCCTGGACTTTGGTTTTCAGACCTGGGGGCTCTCCCCTAGTAACAGTCAAGTGCTGCCCACCTTTACGTAAAATGCCAAGCGAACACCGGGCCTCTCTGTGCTGGGCACGTCTCATGGTCACGCTGCCTGTGGCTGGGAGACAGACTGCTGTGGTCTGCCTCTGACAGCCGAGCAGAACTGGGGCCACAAGGGCCACACTCCACGGGCCCCACAGTGTGCAGCCCTGCTGGCCCTGATGCCTGTGAGCGTCCCAGGCCACAGCTGTCCTGGGGCTGACCCGGCCCTGCTACTGCTCATCTGAGGACTTTGCCTCCTCGCCTGCCCTGCCTGGGAGCTTTGCAGCACAAGACCAGGGGATGAGCAGCTGCTGGAGCAGCCCTGGCCTGGGCCCGGCACCTTGGTCTCACCTCGCCGACTTCAGAAGGGAGGGAAATGCGCGCTTGCTGTTGACGCCTCCTATCTGTGCTTCATGTCATGGCAGCCTCGCTGCTGAAGCATGCCCAGGGTCACAGTGTCCAGTCTGTGAGGACGCAGTGCCGGGCCCCCAGTGGCCCCTTCTCCACAGTACTCCTTCTTTAGTTGTTGTTTACATGAAGGAGGCAGTGTGTGTGTGCATGTGTGGTGACATTAAGTGTGGCCGTGTCTGTGCCTGCGTGTCCGTGGTGTGTGCAGACACATGCCTGTGCACACTGCAGAGTGTAAGGAATGGGCCCCTCCCCAGCCCACCTTCTGGGAGACCCTGCTTCCAGCCTGACAGTGTCCTTCCAACCCCGTGTCCTGCACACACAAGCGGCTCATCCTCCAGTGGCCGTGGGGGAGCCCGGGTCGGGAAGAGCTGTGCTTGTCTGCCTCTCTACTGGCTTACAATCAGGCTGCCTTCACCCTCCAAACAACACCAGAACGACTATTTCCCCATCAGTGCCCACTGGTGCACATAGGTGAATCTGGGGTAGCCAGGTCAAGGTGTGCACACGTGGAAACTGCCCAACCATAGGACTCCTGGTGACAAGGCAAAAGCCTTGGCATTTGCTTGCTGTGTGACCTAGAACAAGTTAATTCGTATATCTGGTCCTCATTTTCTTTTCATTTCTCCTGAGGAATAAGTAAGATAATAAATGGAAGCTGCCTTCAGAGTGTCAGGCTCCAGCTTGTCCTGGACCCAGACAGAGAGCAACACATTCACCAGGACAACCAGATGCCACCACCCACGGTGGAGGCCAGAGCCCCAGCTGCAGGCACACGGCTCTGCCTGGGAGCGGGAAGCCGTCCCCTCCCAGGCCTGTGCCTCTGGGTCTGGCAGGAGACAGGATTCCAGGGTGGCTTCTTCTTCCCTATGTCTGTCCTTTTTTGGGGGGGGTGTGGGGGCAGGATTGAACCCAGGGGCACTTAACCTCTGAGCGACATCCCCGGCCCTTTTTGTGTTTTTGTTTGGGGACAGGGCCTCTCTAAGTTGCTTAGGCCCTCACTAAACCCGCTGGGACTGGCCTTGAACTTCACTGCTCCTACCTCTTCCTCCTGAGCTGCTGAAATGGTCCCTATTTTAATGAGAAAGTGTCCTACACGTTCTTAACGAGACAGGTAACGCATTTTCCCAACAATTCAGGACTGCCAGTTTCTTCCCGAGACACGATGAAGTCCTCATTTGTCAAGGGAGCAGGGCAAGGACCTCAGTGTGTCCCCCTAAGGCCATGTGGCCCACGTTCCTTCCCCAGCTCCTGCTGTCTGCATGTTTCCATGTGGCCACGATGCTGTGCTGGTCAGTGAGAGGTCAGCTAAGGGCAGGGGCCTTCCCACCAGCCTCCTCACCACCACGCGCGTTCACGGTACCTTTATGAGGTTTTCTGCAGGAGCAAAGAAGTCGTCTGTTGAAAATAAAATCTAGACAAAGGGAAAGGGAAGTGAAGATAAAATAGTGTGAATTTAAAAACGTTCTATTGGATTCCTAGTGAAACATTATGAGATGCAGGGGAATGTGGACGGGCCCAGGGAGGAGGCTCCGCAGGCAGTGACCTGCTGCTGACACGTTGGTCCCTGGCTGCTCCTCTGCAGCTTGTCCCAGCCTTTCCTCTTGATCCCTTTCCCATCTGGACCTCGCAAATAAACCAGCAAATAAAGCAAATAAACCAGCTCCTTCTTTTCAAGAACTCAGAAGCTTGGGTTTTGAGGCTTTTCCCAACAGCGATGGCAATAGGTCTATATGCCACCCGGGGTCACACCTGTGCTCTGGTGGCCACTGTTTTCTTCCATGGGACTCCAGGAAGTCACCCTCCAGGGAAACTGTCCAGGAGTGTGTCAGCAAGCCAGGGAAAGGGGTGCACCCAGCTGGGCCCCATGAGCACAGGTGGACGCCAGGTTTTCTGGAGGAGCCTGTGGTCCCAGCAGCCTGTGGGGAGGTGTCCAGGCTCTGGCTGCAGCCAGGAATCCCAGGGCCAGGGAGGACCCAGCTCTCCTGGTGCTGCCAGCTTCCTGGCAGCTCCCTGGCCCCTGAGTGGGCTCTTGGAGCATCTCTTGCTGATGGGCCCTGTGGGTGCCCCACTGCAAGCGCCAGCCAGCTGCAGCGGAGTCCATGTGCTCCACCACCGGTCCTCGGTGTGGTCGCAGCACTGGCTGGGACTTCCCAAGCCTCTCCTTGTAGGGCGAGGTTCCTGGGAGGCCCCTGTGCCCATGGCAGGGACTTTCTCCTTCGCATGGAGGCGAGCTTCCTTCCGGGAGAGAATCGTGCCGCACCCACGCTGAAGGGCCACCACGCGTTCTGGATTGGCCCACAGAGGGAGAGTGGGTCCCCTCACAAGGGCAAGGGGCCTTTTTGAGCATTGGGGCTAGGCCGTCCCTGTTCAGGACGGCCTCCACTAAGTAAATTTGGGAAGCAGGGAGGTGCTCCCTGGGTGGGCACCCGTCACCCCGATCGCTGGTGCTAACTCATTCTCTGCCCTGGGGAGGGGGACCCCCAGCCTGCGTGCTCCCTGAAGGCCTGCTTACCTTTCCTCCCACGGACTCGGAGGCCATGTCCACCAGCTGCGCAAAGTCCAGGAATCGGGTCAGTTTCCCCTCCTTTGAGGCATCAGCCATGCTTCCTGGAAGCGAGAAGGCTGGTGGAAGGGCCGCGGGTCTGCAGGCGGGAGGACCCAGCCAGGCTCCCAAAACCAAGCTCAGACACATCAGAGGTGAGGGGTGACAGAGCTGGGCTTACTGTCACCTGGCGGGCATGAGTGTCTTTGTATGAGGAGCACGCCAGAGGAGGGCGTGAGAGAGGGCTTGCTTTGAGTCAAGGGCACCAGACACACAGTCCCACCACTGCAGACCTGCAGCTTGTGTCGTGATTAAAGCAGAGAAGTCATTCTCACCTAGAAAAGCCACCTTTACCGTCTGTGCATTCAAAACACCACCCAGCA